GGCTCCTAACTGCTCATCTGCCTGCCTGCCTGATTGCCCCTTACCACTTCTGCCTGTCAGCCTGATCACCCCCTAACCACTTCCATGCCAGCCTGATCACCCCCTAACTGCCCTCCCCTGCCGGCCTGATTGCCCCCAACTGCCCGTCCCTGCAGGCCACCTTGTGGCTGTGAGCGCCACCATCTTTGAGGGCATGGCAGTCAATTACCATATTCCCTCCTTTTTGGCTGTGGGCGCCGCCATCTTTGCGATGGCGTGAGGGTCAATTAGCATATTCCCTCTTTATTAGATAGGATGGCCCATCATAGTCACTTTGTAGCTTTTATTTGGGAGGCAGATGGAGACAGGAAGGCTTGGAGATGAGAATATGGCCAATCAAACTCTCTCGTCCACATAAGAGGAAGAATAATTCCCTACTGTCTGGTGTCCCAGGTCCAGAAGGCGGGGGTGAAGGTCAGACATTCGATGGACATTTTGAACTCGATCACAAATATTTTAAATGTCATTATATTGCCTTGTTCCTCCCTCTGGTCGCTGTTGACCTAGGGTAGGTTTGAGTCTGCTTTCCTAATTATTCCTTGATAAAAGCTCTAAACAGGACTTCAATAGATTCAAACGACTTTAACCTCACCCTTCTAAGCCCAAGGAGTTTTGTTAATGGATCTTTATTTTTTAAAAATATATATTTTATTGATTTCAGAGAGGAAGGGAGAGGAAGAGAGAGATAGAAACGTCCATGATGAGAGAGGATCATGGATGGGCTCCCTCCTGCCCGCCCGCTATTGGGGATCAAGCCCATAACCCAGGCACGTGCCCTGACTGGGAATCGAACCATGACCTCCTGGTTTACAGGTCAATGCTCAACCACTGAGCCAGGCTGGCCGGGCTAATGTTTCTTTCTTTATATAATAAAGATAATCTATTCTTTTAAAAATATATATATATATTTTATTGATTTTAGAGAGGAAGGGAGAGGGATAGAGAGATAGAAACATCAATGATGAGAGAGAATCATTGATCGGCTGC